TCTCAAACCTCAAACCTGGAGAGAAACACAGGCTGTGAAATTACAGAAAATATTTGAAGATTCGTCTTTCTCTAACTGAAACACAGATTTCTACTAATGGTTGTCATGGCTCACACCAGCGCGCGGATGTAAATACAGATAAACTCACAGAGTTACAGATTGGGTAACATCCAGCTTAAACGCGACTTTGCTTTCCCGTCACCTCTGGTCACAAAACGGGACATTCTGAAGCGGAGGTGCCGTGGTTAACGCCATGAGACCATCCAAATACTAATGTGATGGGTAAGATCACCACTTAATGCACACATCGCCTGTCACGCGCGTTAATATATCAAACACCATCTAGCCACGCGTTTTCTTCCTCTTATCAGGTCTCCAAAAAACGCTTCCCACTGCGGGGTCATGAAAAAGTCATTTTAAATCAATTGTAGGATCTTAATTAGTTTTTTTCCTCCAAATTTGTGGATAACTTTGTATTTTTATTTAGAACATAAGAATCTGCAAACGCAGCTCAGATGATGAACGGACGGAATGAAAGAGTGTTTAATGAAGAGAACCTGATGTGCGTTGAACGCAGCTTGTACGCAAAATAATTCAATTCAATTCAGTTCAATTCAGTATTATTTATAAAGCACCAAATCACAACAGCATTCCCATAAAGGCGCTTTATATGGTAAGGTAGACCCTACAATAATTATTCTAATGCTGGGTAATAATTAGATCATTAACTTCACTGTATTTACTGGATTATCTCCACATTCTACAAACAGAAAGTCAGTCATTACTTATGTTTTATAAAAACATGTTAGATTCATGATCCCACTCAGTTCTTTTGTATGAAAAGATGAGAAATCAGATTCATTCATCTTGCCTCTGTTTTCCTAGTTGAAATCATACATTTAACTACAAATTTACTTCTTCTTCTTTTTCAAATAAGAAACTCTGAACATTTCCTTGGTTGTTTAACAAAAGTTTTAATCGTCTGAATGTAATCTAATCAAATGGTTTAAAAAAAAAACTGGGTATATTTTCATAATTTTCTGGCTCAGACTCTATATGATGTTTGTGCATTTGAATCACACACTGTGATAGAATTTGAGTGGAAACTAACTGAAAGGGTTGAAGGAGAAAACCAGGTTTAATAGAACGGTCTCTTTATAACATAACTAGCACTGCATTAGTGCATTTTTCAGCACCTTTTCCACCTTCCTGCCCTCTTTAACACAAGCCAGTTACTCAACAAATTACGGCTCTGTCGAAGAAGCCACAGATGTTGGATAAACTGACGATAATTGTTATTATCGTAAGTTTAACTTTTGCTTTTTGTTTTTTAATTGGTTCTGTCGACAGTAAGAAACATCTAAAAGAATCTGTTTTAAAGTATTTTTGACATACGAGTGAAACTTTCTGTTTTTCCTTTACCTGCTTCACAATGTGAGCCTCCATCACCAATGAAGAGAAATGCAATAAGATCAGTTTGGTGATAAAACATCAGCCTTTCCATTACAAATAAACTCGTGTAAAGAATTTTCTAAAATCAAGAAGTGCAGGAAAAAGGTTTTAGGATGTTATTGTGCTTTTCTAGAACGTGCACTTCTGCAGCCCATTTCCTGACAATAAATATTTATGAAAGCTGGGTTAACCTATCAGATTTATTTTCATTTTTAAGTCTAATGAAGAAGATTTGTTGTGCTTAGTAGGAGTGAAGCGCTCAGCAAGCACTGAAGGGTGGACTGATGGCTGTTGACCTTTGAGTGTGTGTGTTGTGTTTGGTCATTTGTGTATAATGCTGACTGGCTGTGTGGGTGTAAATGACTCTCCAGCCCTCAGGGGTGACAGGGTACCGTCACTATGGAAACCCAACGCAATAGCCAGTGATGAGTTGATCCTCAGCCTGCTGATGAGGCAGCTCATCAGCTCAGAGTGTGTTGTATAAAATTTCTGAGTGGCTTCAAGTTCAAACGTGTCCGACTTTGATCGTATCACAGCACGCTGACATGCTGTCATCTTCAGCCTGGAGCCTTTACAGATTACAGATCATATGAAAATGATGCTGAGAGTTCAGATGGATTACGGTGACAAAATGCGTGTAGCATGAAAGTGTGGTCAAGTAGACCTGTGGTCGTGCTTTTCTGTGATGTGCAAGTAATAGAGAGAGTTTAATTCATGCATTAGTGTTTGGTTGCTATAAATTATGATCCATAGGGTTTTTAATTTTGGTTTAAGTGGCTGTGACAGGCTTTTATCAGAAGAAACGTGCATGTAAGTAGGTCAAACATAATGAATATTATATTATTATATATTCAGTATATAATAATATTTATTATTTACTGGGAACTGCTCAAC